GGAGAGCCCCAGTCCAGTTAGTACAGGGGTCCCCAGCCCTGGTCCCGGAGAGCCCCAGTCCAGTTAGTGCAGGGGTCTCCAACCCTGATACTGGAGAGTCCCAGTTCAGATAGTACAGGGGTCTCCAACCCTGGTTCAGTGATAACCTTTTATATATGTATAGAAATCAGATACCAAGACAAACACTGTTTCATACATACAGATTATTAACAAGAGAGGACCCAGTGCAGACCCCTGAAGCATTCTAGTACAAACAGCTGCTGAAACAGAAGTATAACAATCAAGTGATACAGTGTTCTTTAGTACAAGTAAGACTGAAACCATCAGAGAACAGTGTCAGTAATGCCATCTGAATCTTTGAGATGTTTAAAGAGGATGCTGTAATCAACGTCAAATCAAGCAACACCAGACTGGCCAGGGAACTCGAACCCACAGCCATCAACAGACCATTCACATACCTAATTAAACCCAGCTCTGCGTTATGCTATCAACATGCAGACTGAAATCTTGCCTTGTCTATGTAACAAAGTGAAGGCAAAACACTCCAGAACCTTTGTTACAAAAAGCAAATTTGAAACTGGAACACTTTAACAAAAGACATCTTGATCTACAGAAGGACTCTTCTTCTTAGGTAGGGGGCTCACAACAGCCTGTTCCAAGACTGGAAGAAAAGCACCAGACATGAAAGAAAAGGGGTGATAAGATAAGACTCCCTCAAAATTAGGGAAAGAAAAATAAAACCCGAGCTCAGTGCTCTGTTCCAGAACTGGGCTACAGACAGAAGTGGCTGAAACAGCGGCCATTCAGCTGCCCTCGTGAGAAGCATCATCACACCTTTGGAAATTAAATTTATTTTTCACAGCTAGATATGTTAAAATATGGGTTTACACTGTTTTAGCCACCCGCAATAAAAAATGTTCATTGACAGACGTAGACAGCTTAGAAACTGTTTTACATAACACAGAGAGCCAAATGCACAATGAAAAACATCTGATTGAATTTACAGACGGTGGGAACTGATTCTTCCCACTGTCACACTGCTGTGTAACCCAGGAGAGGCAGCAGCCCCACCCTGGACATGACGAGAAACCCCTTCCGGCAGCAGAGAGCCTTACCTTCTTATCATACACATCCTGCCAGTTTATTCCTGCGAAAAAACTGTGGCGCATGATCTCCTTCGCATCGTCCGGACCTCCTCCAAGTCTGCAAAAATAAAACACCCTTCAGCAGGAAACCCAAGCACATTGACAGCATCTAAGGAAAAAAAAAAAGACAACTGCAAAGCCAACACTTAATTCGAACATCTGCCAGGGCTGACATTCAGTCTCACGAGAGCCTGAGTCAGATCCGACACACTGAAACAGGCCACCCCTCCCAGCAGGGGTCGCTGTAACATCTACTGATATAGAAGGATAAATCAATCTTCTAATGCCACAAAACCAAACCAGCCAAATGTGCACAACAGCAGTCAGGAGCTGGTGGCACCAGGTGACAGCCAAGCTGTACAGTGAGCAGGCCTCCTCCAGACAGCAGGGGGCAGTGCCACACGCACCTTTTGTTGGGATCCTTGATGAGGAGGCCGGAGAGCAGTGATATTGCATCGGCAGAGAGCGTCTTGGGGAACTTGATGTCCTCCATGAGGATGAGCTCGAACAGCTTCTCGTGGTCCTGGTTGTAGAAGGGCAGTCGGCCACACATCATTTCATACATGACGACGCCTAGCCCCCACCAGTCCACCGCGCGCCCGTAGTCATTGTCTTCTAAAACCTGCAGGGAAGAACGAGCCCATTTCTTATGGTCTGACCTATTCACCCACTGCAAATACAACCACCAAACAAGGCAGTGCTCCTGGGCTTTTCCAGAGCGCAACCCCTGACTGCTAATCCTCCATGCCTGGAAGGAGATATGGTCCCCCAGCGCACCTCTGCCTGCATGGCCAACACCCACAGACTGAGGAGGAGGTAAGCGCTCAGCCTCCTCCTCGCTACCCGAAGCAGAAATCCTGGCTTATTTAATGGAAGGAGGGAGCGGAACTCCCTCTTCCACAAGAATAAACTCCAGCAGTCATGTCACCCTGCAGCCCGCTGAGCCTGGTCAGGACCTGCATGGGAGACTTCAGTGGGCTGCAGGGTAAGATGGTTGCCGATTTACTACTCATGGGCTCCTAACACTCCCCATCTCTGAACTGGCTTCATCACTCTGCTCGCCTCCCCACTGAGAGCTGGTGTGTGGGGAGTGTACTGGTGCTGGAGGAGAGTCCCCATTACCTGTAAAGCGCTTTGAGTGGAGTGTCCAGAAACTATAAAAGTGTGAGGAATTAGTCATTATTAATTCATTAACAAAGCTGGAGCTGCAGGGGCAGGCCTGCGTCTCCCGTCCTGGGAAACCAACCATGGGGACGTGATCTGATCTGATTTGGTTTTTGACCCCTGACCTGCGGCACAGGGCTCAGGCAGGCCCCCACCCAACAGCTCTGCATCAGGAAAGAGCTCAAGAAAGACCTGCTGGAAAGAGCTGCCTTGTCTCCTGTCATCCTGTTTGGATGAGGTTTCAACATCCATCACGGCACACAGTGATTAATACATCTACCTAATGACAACCACGATTGGACGCAGGCCAGTTAAGCATATGCTGCAAATCTTGTGAATAACGACGGCACATCTTTTAATCTATACTGTGAGACAAACCTGGATGAAAATTATCCCACTCTCCCTGTCATCTCAACTCTCCTGGAATAACAACACAAGTTTCTGGGTTTTCAGAGTACCAGATGTTACATCCTCCAAAACCTTCAAGATAACTACAATACAAGCTGTCAAGAAGGATGTGACAAACCATTCAGAAACAAGCAACAAAAATAGAAATATACTGTACATTTGTATACGGTATTTTCTTAAAATTAACTCATCTAGAATGATAATTGACATCTGTGTCAGACTGACTGACACGCTGAATAAAGAGTGTAACATAAGTTCATTAAGAAGAGAACCAGACTTTTTTTACCTAAAGTTACAGCTGCTCTCCAATGAGGTAGAGCTCTGCCACATTAAAATGAGCAGCCCTGGTTCAGCCAGGTGCCCACTACAGCTCCCTGGTCTGGCGAGCAAAGACGCAGCTCTCACACACATGAACCGTCTGATCCCAGTTTAATATGATCTTTGACAGCATTTCACGCAGTTAAACAGTTATACACATACCTGGTATAACTACACTGGAGGAATTTCACCTAAAATGGGATTTTGACAGACCCCCTGCCCAAGAGGGGACACCTGTTCGACTCCCTCCACAGCCAACGTGACAGAAGTCATTTTAAAAATTCAACGAACAAGCTTCCCGTTACAGACCCAGAACAAGGCAGAAACCAAGCCTGTCCGATCAGGCACATCGCCTACCCCACAGCTCTCTGGCCCTCCCTGTCTGCTCTCAGTTTGAGAGCACAAGAAGTCTATTCGTTTCCTAATTCAGCACTGTGGACACCCCAGGGAGGCGGCTCCGTCTGCCTGCGACAGACCACGGCAGAGAGGAAACAGCCTGAGAAGAGATTAGCCCTCCCAGGGCCGGTGTGGGCCCCCTGCTCCAGCAGTCCCCGTCTCCGCTGGCCATGTGGCGGAGCGTCTGCGCGGAACAGCCCCCTGGCATGGCTGGCCACGGGAGCCTGTGGCTGCACCAGCCCTCTCGCTCCCTCCCCGCGCACACAGGGGCATGCTGGGACTTCACAGCCAGCTGAACAATCACGCAGTGGCCCGAAAGACCCCTTCTTCCAGCGCCGTCTGTACCAATCGGACATATACGCTCGCGGACCGTCTATCTCGAAAGCGTGGTCTTCATGAGAAATCTGGACCTGTGCTTAACGGGACTTTCCAGACGACTGTGGTGGCAGCCAAATGCTCCTGGCTAGACTTTAGCATTCAGTAAAATGGCAAACAGCAAAAACTACTCTCGAAATTATTCTTCCACTTCAACCACTCGCTGAAATATTTTTCCACTTTATTTCAACAGGAGCCATCCTAAAAACCAAGTTTAAAAACTCCGTTTCAAGGGTCTCCTCACCGTGTTCTCCAGTGAGCAGGTGTAGTATGAGTAAAGGTTCACACTACTCTGTCCAATCAGCACAGACATGACTGGACCTCTTGCCGAATCATGTGACTTTCTGTGCGCCTCTCCTAACATGCACGTGTCTGTTAACTCTGCAGGAGAAGCTGAAGCCGTCGCCTTAACTGAGGGAGTCTTCAGTTGTATCTCTACATTCTTTCTGCTTTGACAACACTGTAACTCATCGGTCATGCCAATAAACGACTCAATCTGAAATTCTGTATGACACTTGCACTTGTTTACACTCTCCCATCCAGGGGTGTTCATTGTTTTTTGTTTCAGAATTTCACCATTTTGTCTTGTCTGTCACAATGGCGTAAGCCTGCTCACCTTGTCATCAAGTAGCATCAATCTTCTCCATTTACCATCTACTGGGGTTAACAGGGGATTATTATCGCTACAGCTACAGCCTTGCACATTTATATACACCAACTCATGTATTCATTTCCTCCTGCTGAATTAGTTTGACTCTTACTCTTAATTACACAAAATTTCCTCATTTTTTTCCTAAAGAAAATACGACAGATCCAGAAAAAAGTGCTATTGTTGGTATGAGACAACTCCAGATGGATTCAGATGGTGTGACCTATGCTGAGAGAATAAGAGAAGTCACTCTTTTCAGTCTTGAACAGAGAAGACTATGATGGCACTTGATACAAGTATTCAAAATCCTCAAAGGTTATTGGGCCACTGGGCTCAGTGGGCCTTTTCAGAACAGTGAAACATGAACCAGAAGACATGCTAAACTATCGACGCATATATTTAAAACCAAGAACAAGAGACACTTTTTTTCCCCTCACACACAAAGGGACGTGGGAGTATTGGACAAGCTGCCCAGCTGATACCCTGGTTTCTCTCAGGTAACAGCTGGGCGAGAAGCTCAGATGAGCTGAGCAGGGCTCGACTGGCTGAAGGCCCCCTCACATTTGTCTCCTTTCTTAATTTTTTAGGCAACAGAAGAAACCCACTTAAAGAATGGGGGATATTAAGAAAGGGAGCATTTACTGTGGTGGCAGCAATCTGATCTGCCTTGCTGAAACCCTCTGGTACAGGAAAACTGTGTTCACAACATGAAAGACAAATCTTTCTGAATTTTACTTTCATAACCCAAAGGACTGGAGTGCTTTTTTCTCTCGCTCTCTTTTTTTTTTTAATCCTGACTACTTTGCATCTCTCTAACTTGGCGCGGAGAGTGTTCTGTTATTTTTACACCAGGACGGCAGTATAGAATTCCAGGTTTCCCAGCCACCTCCTTCCAACCTCCCCCATCTGTCACCATCTGCCTCTATTTAGCATGTACTTTTTTGTGCAATCACATACTCTTGTGAAAAATAACCAACACTCAAATTATCTCCTGGCACATTTGCGGGTTGAGCAAAACAAAGAGCTTCGCCAAATTGTGTTCCGTACTTTTTCAAGTGGAATCGACACCCCCATCCCCTCCGCCATCATCTTCAGCGCTCAATAAATATGCATTTTCTGAACAGCAGCTCTGCTTTTCAATCTTTTTTTTCCTTCCTTTTGCTGATTAGGTATGGGGAACGTAACATATGAACAATTATTACGAATAGGGCGGGTTTGTGCTGCTCAGAGCCTCTAGTACAGTATGTTTTTTTGGTATGGGAACACATTTTCCCTATATTGTTCTGTGGTCTTTTGTAGAAATGAGCTCACAAAATGTAAGCATGTTCCTAAGCCACAACTACCGTCCACATCTAAAGATTACTCCTATTGCACTTGGTAATTGCCGGTAACACTCCTACTGCTTTTTTTAATCTAATACACGGCCAGGTCTTCATGCAAAGTTAAGTATTGTCATTCCACAATATATAAAGGCGGCACATAGTCGTGAACTTTGGGAAACCTTAAACAGCAGCCCTGCTGAATAGATGTGGTTCAGCCCTTCAGAAACACAGTAATAAATCCGCCTCCAGGTCAAGATTCTCATGTGGGGATGTCTGTTCTCACCCATTACTTCCTACATTTGATAGCAACAACAATGCTTCCTCTTGAACTCAACACTGGAGGCCATGCCTGCCAAATGCCAGAGAATGAGTCTCTCCGGTCACACTCCAATAACACGCAGCGGTCACTCCACCCAGAAGGTGACCTTGCCTTGGGCACCTCTCACCACAGCTCCCAGCTCTTTCGAGACCTTCACCTGTGATTCACTGTTGATCATGGCTCATCGATAAATACAAAATGGCATAACATGAATCAGCAGCTGCTATTGCTAGATGGCAAGGCATCTTGCCTGGTCTCCCATCCGATTCCTCGCTCCTAAGGACAACCGGCTCACTGCTGGAAATTATGTCAGTAGGATCAGTAGGAGGCAACAGAGGGTCTCCAGGTTGCTCAGGTGTTAATGATCCCATTATAATACTCCCCTCTCAGGTCTGTTTAACTCAGTGAAGAGCTGTAGATGAACTCAGCCTGCTCCCACCTGGAACAGGTTTTGTGTGCCGTTCAGATAAAAAGTATGATATGAATCTGACGCATTAATATTAATATAAATGAATCTTTATTTAACTCAGTAAGCCAGTGAAGAACAAAGTCTCACTCACAACAACCTAGAGAGTGTCCTTTTACACAGCAGAGCATTGTCCTGGAGCAGTCTGAGTAAAGCACCTGGTCCAAAGATACAACAGTATTATCCCCACTCTGCCATGATCTGCGGTTGAACCACAGCCTTCCAGCTGCAAGGCCTCATCAGCTCCATCCTACTGCCCCAGCTAGCACTGCGAACGATCTAATTTCACTTCTCTCAACAGTATTCGAGCCTCATGATAACAGTCAGGGCAGGGAATCAGCTGCAGTTTAAGGCACAGTTCTCTACCTCAGGAGCCAGGTACTCTGGAGTACCGCAGAACGTCTTCATGGTAGCAGCGTCAGTGATTCCTTCTTTGCAAAGGCCAAAGTCTGTGATTTTGATGTGACCGTCTTTATCTAGCATCAGGTTTTCTAGCTGCAGGGTGGAGAAAACATAAGAATCGCAGATAAATACATAAAGGTTAGAAAAAAGTCTTGATTCACTTTTTTTATTTAAACTGAAGGTCCATGATGTAGATCCACACCACTCTTGTCCAAAGAAGGATGTGCATCTTATGCTCCTGATGCAACAGGCCGGGACACTAAGCAGACGACTTAGGAAAATATTAAACAAAAAGACCTCAGGTGCCTTCAGCACCATTTTCTTCCATTCCAAGACTTTGGCAAACGTGTGTCCTCGAATTTAAAATGACACAGCAGCTTTGCCTGCCTCAAGAACTACATTTTGAGCAGCCACAGAGCAGCAGAAGAACAGGCCAGGCTCAGACTGCATCAGCTTTTGACCACAGATAAACTTACTTAACCTGTGCAACCTTAGTCCTTATGCATTACGATGTACATCCCTGTAGTGTCCAATGCCAAAAAGCACAATCACAACATTATTCATATCAAATAATAAATAAAAGTCTTATTTGGGAATATTTTTAACATTTACTATCTCTGTATTTGTTTCTCTTTAAATGTGGTAAAACAACATCTCACAGCTGTCATTCTCCACACACATTTTTACAAAGTATGTCTTTTTTTTTTGCACTACACGTTATGTGGATGAGAAGATGTATTTAAACACATTGAACTTGTTTTTCCTTTGAAGCATAAGTAATGCTTGTTAATCTTTGGAGCTATGTGAACAAATACATACTTAACATTTACATAAACTGCTGTAAGATGCAGTAAGAAAAAAAAAACATGAAACTCTGAATGTTTAAAGCAATGCGCCCAGAAAGGCCCTTCCAATTTTAATTGCACAGCCTTCCTTTCTTGGCGCAGTGTGAGGTCTGCCCATCCAAAGCTGTAAGCGAAACCCAGCTCCGTCTTTCACAGGCACAGGAGTTCGATGTTTTCCAAAATCTAACCTTCCCCCCACCTCCCCAATCGTCGTCAAAGCCTGTAAATTTTAATTACATTTTCCACATCCCCAAGTGGAAAAATAGGAGGGGAAAAAAATGGCTGTCACACCGAGAAACTTTCAGGCTGCTGATTGCTTGCGAAGTTTCTGGCGTTTTACCTTGAGATCCCGGTACACGATCTTGGCGGAGTGCAGGTAGTCGAGAGCGGAGACGATCTCAGCCCCGTAAAAGCGTGTGCGGTCCTCCGAGAACACCCTCTCTCTCGACAAATGGAAAAACAGCTGCAGGATAAACAGCGGGGACAGGATTGCAATAATTACTGATTTAGTGGGGGAAATTAACACAAACACAAACTGCTTCCCATAGCCATATTGAGATGATAGATCGCAAGCCCTCTGAGGACCCACGGCAAACCTAGACAGCATCTGCCTTATCCTCCTCCAGGTTTCCAGAGAGGAGCTGGAGCGGTCTGTTAAATCAGCATTTTAATCAATGTACCAATCTCGTTAAGGGCGTTCTGCGCTGGAGTCGTTTAACCCCCCGTTACAGCGGCTGAGGGCGCTTTAGCAATTATTGTTCGCCCTCCCCTCTCAGATGTCGAGCTGCTCTGTCGGATTCCTGGGCGTTCTCCTCTGGGCTGCAGCTCCTCATACAAATTACTGCTGGAGCCTCCGAACTGTCTCCCGTTAATTGACGTGCCCGGGCGTTCCCAGCCTCGCGTGCGGCCGCTCGGGGACAGGGGTCGCTCTCCAGGAGCGCCGGCTCAGAGCCGCGCAGGCGGGCGAGCAGCTGGGGAGGGACGGGCTGAGCCAGGGCCTTCTAGACAGCAAAGCTTCAGCGTCCGACTGAAAACAGATCGATCTGGGGAAAACCGTGTTGTGTCGACGCCACGTGTAAGGTACAAATTCTGCCTGGTTCTGAAAAACGAAACGACAGCTTGCAGGGATGTTATCTAGACGTCTACTTGCTCTTCATGAGGGTTCAAATACAAAACGACTTTTACTGTGTTAGAATTCAGAAGGTCTGAAGCCCGTTAATGTCTTACACGAAGGAGAAGGATTGCTCTAGCATCCTGACTGCTCCCATGTAGCTCTGACAACTATCGGCTTTAACAGACAAGTGTACCCTCTCCACCCTGCATCTCTCCTGACAGGGTGCCCTCGGGATTCGGCGCCGGGCACCCATGAAGGCAACGACATGGCGCTCAATCTTGCGGCCTGGCCCCGAGCACGAGGCGTGGGTGGGTCTCGTCTGCACCTCCCTTGTGCTTTCAGCAAGGTCAGCGCCAGCAGGAAGAGCACCTGGCAGAGGCCGCGTGAGCAGGGCTCCACTACCACACCAGCAGCCTGATGCGCTGGTTCGCTCCTCAGCTGGAGGCCCGGGCTCAGGATTTTTAGCACAGTCAGGACAGTTTTGACTGAAGCCAGCAAGCATGGCGAGGACACAGACTCAACTTCACGACTTCTTGCAACAGCGGCAGCTTGTATAGCAGTCTCCGTTAAGCGATAATACCATCCGAGAACCGCGCATCTTGAATGAACTCATAATGCACGGTCCTCAATTCCAAAAACCCAATACAAAAGCAGATTTTTTCCCCTTTTCCTTTTATTCCTGCTCGGGGTCATCATGGCCCTGACAGAACAATCTGAAACGTCCTGGACCAGGAGCCCTGGTGAGCCTGGAGGGATGGCAAAGGGCAGGGGACAGTGAGGAGCTGTCATTCACAGGAGTTGAAAGTGTCCATAAAAGATAATGCACTGCCCCTATCTAATCTGCAGTAACTGATACCTGAGAGGAAAGTCATTTTAATTCCTCTTACTTTCACATGTGTGTGACTTCCTATAGAAGAAATGCCCAATTGTAACTAACAAGCTCAAACGCTACCGAACATTCAGCTGCCAGGAACAGTCACAGGCTCTGGGTCTCCTGCTCCGGCTACTCAGCCAATTTGCATGGGAGAAAGGAGCATTTTATTTCTTATTTCTGACAGTCACTGGCGATCCTGGAATCAAACAGCTCTACGCTGGTGGCTAGAGTCATGCGCCCCACCCTTGTCAGGGCTGATGGTTCACATGGGCTCCAGCCCCTCAGAGCGGCTGGACTCTTCTGTTCTCAAGAGCACTCCTGCCCACCGCCAGCTGGAACCAGCCAGAGCAAGCGGTGAGAGCCGACCCTGAGGAAGACACTGCACTGCCATCTCCGAAGAAGGTGTGTAATAGTGTGTAAACTATTAATTACATTACCACTTCAACTCAGCGAGGCAGGGAGACACGGCTACCCTGAAGCCTGAACTATGCAACGTGATAATAAAGAGGAGAGCATTCCTCTTTTTTTCCTGGAAGAAATGTCTGTGGAGAAGTCTCACAAGGTTTCATGTGTCCTGCGACTCGTGTTGCCTCGGTTACGATCTGTCGTGCCTTCTGCAATATTGTCCGGTGTAGATATTAAACCGGATGGCATCACCAATGGAATTAAAACACGTGCAATTGACAAAATATGATTGAGGAGAAGTACTTCTCTTCCTTTAAGGGTTTCTTATCTTGCATACACCTCTACTCGTTCCTTCTCCGCTAACCTTCTAAGCCCAGCCAGATACCAACAGACGGAGATAACTGGGGAACCCAAAATCAACAAGAAAAATCCTTATCAAAACCTCTCTTTTTAGTGACTCGGAATCCATACATCAATAAACCCCTATTAAAGTTCTATCCATTACTCTTCTTATTACATTTTGTTGACCAAATAGCAAGACAAAGCACTAAGTCTATAAAGACTGCATGAGTGTGGCACAGACATAATTCTTAAAAGGTGACTGCAAATGACATTTCTATTTTAATAGGCGATCAACTTAAATTAAAAAAAGTTGGCATTCAATTTCTACAAACTATTGCTGCTATTAAACTGTATGCGTCTGCTTTCCAACTTTCTTGTACTGAAACAGCATTACATCACAAGTAAGGCAGAGTGTCAGAGCCTAATGACAGGCATTCCAGCCTAAAACCAAATCAGGAGGCGTTTCAAACAGTTTATCGTGATTAATTAGGTGCACAGCGTTTGGTAAATATGAATAATTAACTGATTAAATACACTTGCAGGAGTGTAAAAAACACAGAGAACAGAAGATAGGAGTGACAGCTAAACAAAAGTTGAATTTGTAAAGCTTGAACTTTAATAATGTTGTTTTATGGCTGTAGCACAAATACCATAATATTAACAGTGTTTGAATTAAAACCTTTGATGGCAAATGAAACATCAGTACCTTACAGTATGAAGTTTAAGATGCATAGTACAAACTGAGAACAAAACGATTTCAATAACGGAAAAACAATGTGATTTGTGTACAGAGTGAGAGAACAGATTTATCATGTGAACTGGGGAACGCAGAGCATGCAGACGCCGGCGAGGGATGGTGCAGAGCCAATCGCTTGGGTAAGAAGCCACATCTCGCCTCTGCGAGCCGTGAACAGACAGACCGGTCCGCATGCACTGGAGCTGCCTGTCCCTGCCAATCCAAATCTTGTACTTTCTCCACTTCAAAGACAAAAATACTTGAATTATCTGGATATATCCAACAACTGCAAGAACTGGCCTTGAAAGCCCAAGGAGAGATCAATTTTAATTCTCCTCTGTGGTTCATGAAGAAATAGCACTGCATTTCACTTGTGTTATTGTGGTATTCATGCACTCTGGCTTCTTTGTTGTTCCTTTTATTACGCAGCACTTCGAGAAGTCTGTACAGGAAAGGGGCTGCATGACCATTATATACCAAGACTCCAGTGGGAATAAAGCAAAGCCAGGCCCTGCATCAGGCCCCCTGCAGGGGGCGCCAGACTCAGGGCGGTGTCACAGGGCTGCTCACCTCTCCTCCGTTCACGTACTCCATCACGAAGCACAGCCGGTCCTTGGTCTGGAAGGAGTACTTCAAGGACTGCAGCAGGGACAGAAGACACTCTCGTTAGGACGGGGAGGACCTGCTCGGGACGGAGTGCTTGCGAAGGAGCCGGCGCAGCCTCCCCCGAGCGCACGCCGTCTCGAAAATCAACACTTTATTTTTTCCGCGGGGAACACCAGATCTCCATACGTGCAGAAGAAACCCCACTGAAGCACCAGTTGTTCCAGTTTAGCGCGAAGCCTTAAATCTTACTCCAGAGGGGGAAGGCGAAACAACACAATCATGCCTTTATCTAATTGTTTTGCTCAACCTGGCATGTGTGTTTTGCATTAAACAACAACATCTGGAGCGTCACTACAATTACTTGTCTGTGGTGAGTTCTCAACAGATGTAGAGCTGCATTTGTGCTGTTAATTTACAACAGTTTATTCACTAAATTATAATTAGTCTCTTGGGGCACCGTGTATACAGAATCACAACCTGCAGCGGTCGAGAGTTTCCCTTTGCAGTCGGCTCTCTGAAGGGCCTCACGGTGGAATACTCACGGTTAAAAAGGGGTGTCGCGTGTTTTTTAACACTCTGCTTTCCGTCAGCGTGTGAGCCACTTCGTCCTGGAGAAACACAAACAGGAGAGGCAAGGTTGGCCACCTGGGCCTTCTTGTAACACACACAACAGCTCGAACCTGGACTGACGCTGGGCAACAGGTAAGCTCGACTCGGTTGAAAGGAAACTACCTTTGCCAGGGGAATTTCCTTCTATAGCCAGCAGGGTGGCGCAGTGGTCAGAGCCGGAGCTCATAACCGAAAGGCTGAGTGGGTTCAAATCCCACTTGAGAGAGGAACTGCCCCGAACTTTCAATAAAGGTATCAGCTAGATGATGTAGCTATTCTAAGAAATTGAATTTTCCCACTTTAAATATCCATTTCAGAAATCATGTACAGCACTGATGGACCACTTAAAAATCATCTTTATATCAGGACTAAAGTAGATAAAAGGTTAAAGTTATTTACTTTACACAAATTGCTCTGTTTTCACAGTTTAACAGTATACAGGGCCTTGAAAAATTATTCAGACCCTTGCACCATTTTCACATTTTGTTGCTTTACAGTTTGTAGTCAAGACACTTTGAAATAGGAATTAATTTGTTATATACACAATCTACTCCACACTTTTCAATCAAAACAAAAAGATGTAAACAGATAATTTATGTGAAAGAAAAATGCAAAAATTATGACTGCATAGGTATTCAAACCCAGTTTGCCACCTAAAATTAGGTGTATAAGACTACATTAACAAGCAACACAATTAGTTGCATGGCCTCTATCTGTGCCCAATAATAAGTCGCTCACATGAACCGAGAATAAACAAACCTGTTTTTCTACGGTCCATCTGTCAGGTGATGAAAACCTGCTTCAGACTTAAAACTGGGACAAAGAGTCAGCTCTCAGAGGAACAATGACCCAAGTCCCAAGGCAAGCTATACTGGAGGGTCGTAAGAATAAGAAAGTGAATGTCCTTCAGTGTCCCAGTCCTGACTTGAATCCTACTGACAATCTATGGTAAATCTGCACCAAATCTGCCCAGAATGAGGATGAAAACTGCACAAAGTTGGTAGAGACTTAGTCAAAGGTTCACAGGTCTTTGTACAATCAACCATTTTCATTTTTTGAAGTAGTTCAGGTGGGGAGCTGTGTCTGCATGCATAGGCTGCAAAGGAACAAGTAATAGATTTATTCCATGTTGAAAAGAGAAGAAATAAAACCCAACGTTTCGGCCGTGGAGCCTTCTTCAGGTGTGAGCTTCATTTTCATTTGTTTACTTTTTACTGTGATTTATAGTAACTTTTCTTACCTCTACAAGTCTTCAGATTGAGCATTCAGGTATTGAACAAAATACTAATTAAAAAAATGTGGATGCATCTTTTTGTAATTTCACCAAAGGGCTCAACTTAGGAAGGGCGTAAATCGTTTTGCAAGGCACTATATAATTGCCAGGGGCTTCCTGGTCAGGGAAGGAAACCTCAGAAGGGACAGTATGAAAGACTAGCTGGCAGAGGACACCAGGAGAAGGAAACTAGGATTTTGGGGAAACACTTTTCACTGCAGCTGGTGAATGACTACATGATACACAAATTCAGAACATCTTCTAAATATTCACTCCCCGTACTAAAAATAAGTTGGTTTTATTCTTTTAATCTCCACATATAGTAAGACAGTTTGAATGGACTAAACACGGTGCCTGATCACATACCTTGGCGATAATTACTTCCTTCTTCAGGATCTTCATTGCATAATACTTCCCACTCGCCTTCTCTCTCACCAGAATGACTTTCCCAAAAGTGCCTTTTCCCAGTAGTTTTAAGTAGTCAAAGTCATTCATTGTCTAGACAACAAAAGGAAGAGGAGACTGTCATAAGTAGCAAATATAATCAGAAGCATTAAAACTGAAACTCTCTCTCATCTAGCATGATACAGTCATTATAGAAGAGTAAGGGCTGTCGGTGAGGGACACACTTCTATTCCAATCAGCACAGGTGCTCTGCTACAGGCCTGAGTCGGTCTACAGGCTGGTCCTTACTCTCCCCGTGTGCGGCCACACAGTTCACAGACATGAGCCGAAATGGCAAAAACACATAACTGGCTCTTCCATGTCATTATAGGTATACCAATAAAATAACTGGGGATTCTTAATTTACAAAAACAAACCTTTAAATGCTTTTGGAGTACAGCTTAGTTCCAATACATGCTATCACAGACATGCTTTCTTGTCCTGCAATGAATACACAACAAAAATGCTTCCTCTGGACAGCAGCAACCTCCAGGTGAAGAGAAGGAAAGACAAGTTTCACTGGCAGAAACAATGCCATCTACTCAGGCTCACTTAAGCTCTCTGCACCATTTCGCAATGAATTCAAGAGGAGCTTCGTGGAAGGGAAAGCACCTGCCCACATGCTTCCATTTCAAGCTTCAGTGACGAGACAGTGGCAGCTCACAGCCCTTCAGGAGGAACCCCGAAATCAAAGGGTCCCAGGCACACGCAATGACACCCCTGCCCTGCTCCCCAGAGGCCCCCTCACCTTGCGCTTGTGGTGGCTGGTAGAAGTGTCCATCTCCTCCTCGCCGATGTTGTCGATCTGGGAGGTGGGGCTGCAGCTCATCCGCTCCTCCTCCTGTCTTTGGAGTTTGTCCGCTACGGTCTGGATGGCTTCCGTCCACTCCTCCCTGCAAGCAAAGGGCACCCATCAGCCGGGCAGCTCGCGCCACAGCGCCAAGCGCAGGCCGCAGGTCCGCCCAGGGCACATGCCTATAAATTCAGATTCTCCGGGATCACGAGGTCATACAGAAGAGAAAACAAACAAAAGGTTCGGGACGATAACTTTGCTCCAGCTCTGGTAATGAATACCGGACAAATGTGACAAATACACAGGCAGGTCAGTGCGAAGATGTTAAGTCTTTTCGACATCTGGTCGGCTATAACAGCGAGCGCACTGCGTCTCCAGCGGTTTGGAGTTCCTGAGACGGTGCAGGATCTGGCCTGCCGAGGACTGGCAGCAATTCAGACAAGGCAGGTCACAGTAGACAAGACATAAGGCATTTCGCTGATGTCTCAGTACTATAGTCGCAGCACTAATGACTGCAGCTCTCTGGCACCTTCACAAACACCAATCAAAACTTCTCAACATTTCGCAACATCTGCACAGGGTAAGAAAAACTGTTAAATGAAAGACACACAGCAATTCAACATTTTAATCAAGTATTTATGTAGGCCATTAAATCAATGCTGTAAGAGTTTGTTTGATCTGCTGGTATACATTATTTCTCAATATTGAGATGTTACTTTAATAATACCAAAGTGCACAACAGAAAATAACCAATAGAACATCTGTGCATTCTTAAAAACAACCTAAACAAAGACCAGTTTATAGCATGTTTGCAAATCTTTTAAGTTATTGACTGAGTTGTGTAATTAGTAAATAAGTAAAAAAAAAGGTCCTTATGATCTGACTTAATGCGAGATCACTGGATGTCAAAAACTGGAGATGATGAAATAGCCAGCCCATCAGTTAGAAAGAACATGCTTCCATCTGTTCATAATTAGTCTGCTTTACAATAATTAATGATTGCTCGCAATGTGCTTAGTTTACTTAGTTTGCTCAGTTCAAATTTGATAGAATGTTTTTAAAATTCATACACAAATGTTTAATCTTCAAACAAATGCTGAATATGATGAATCACGTCTTGTAACGTGCACTAATCCCTCCATTCTGGGATGCTCCATGATCAGAAAGCTGCTTGTTCTGTGCACGAGTCGTGACAGCGCAGGGCCTGTCCCTGGACGTGACGCCACCCCATCACAGGACACAGCCCCACAATTTAGAGGCATCCATTGAGACAGCCAGCTTGTCATAAGAGGTAGGAGGACACTGGTCATCCAGAGAAAACCCATATGAACAGGGGGAGCGTGTAAACTCCACACAGAAGGTCCTCGTGTCCAGAATCAAACCCGGGACACATGAGCTGTGAAACCACACTGCTCACAGCCACACCCCTCTGTCACCCTGCACATGAATTTTACAGACATGCTTCTTTGTTAAGCATCTATATTTACATTTGACTTCAGATCCCATTATTGTTGTAATTACATTTTTATATTTAACAACTTCACAGCAAGTCACTGATATGTAAAAGCAGTTATCTTGAGCCTTTAGTTTGATAAGGTCACCTTTAAAATCATGGTTTTTAATAAAGTCTCATTAATTTGGGGGGTCTTAGTGGTCACCACCTAATCTACATTTCTTAACATGAAAACCAAAGAGGATTTAGGTGTTATTTCTGGATTACTTGTGAAACTGCAGCCATAACTCTAAAAGGTTAACATGAACGTTTTTTTATTGTTAATAAGATGCAGTTATTGGGAAGGAGACACAGCTGCATATTTCTACTTGTTCACAAAAACAACATGGTTCACGGAAACAAACCAGCAGAGGCTGAAGAGATACTTTCCCACTGGGGAAGAGGAAGGTGCACGTTCTTTAACGCGCTGGAGTTTAAAACGATAAGGTTAGATGTCGCACGTTCTTTTTTTAATTAGCATCTTTCACTAATCAGAAATAATGGCACTGCCCACCACTAGGCAGCCTTCCAGCTGGTGCCATAACTGTGCTCTCTCCTGGTGCTGAAGTCTGTCGCTCCTGGGTCTTCGCCAGGAAAGTCCGTAAAACTCCGATGGAGTCCGGCGAGGAGTTCGGCAAAGTTTTCTTGAGTCGCGTGCGCTCGAGAGAGATTGCAAGTCTTTCTCCCTCTCAAGAGGGACACTGAGAGCTGGGTTCACAGCATTCTTAAAAACCAATTTTGTTTATAAAAATGTGTGATAAGAAATCGAATGCGCAAAAGCACCTTTAATCTTGAAGCCTTAAAAGATGAATGCAACGCACAAGCTGCGCAGTGTCGTTTCAGCACAAGCAGCGCGCAGTGGAGACTGGCGGGACAAAACACGTAAACGCTTGTTGAGAGAGTTGCTTTAACATCAATCTTTCAGGTTTCTTGTCTCAGGCTATTCCGATTATGCAGCCTATTAAGATTTTAATTAAAAAGGTTATGTAAATGATTAGGATTACTTTGATCACTCAAGTGAACAGGTTTAGTTTCTCGCCAAAGGCCTGCGATCCACAGACAGGATTCCGCACAGCTGTTCCCTAGTTCAACCTCGCTTTTCACTCCCCCCACAAAACACAGCCCACAGTGCCAGGAGGCCTGTGATCGCTCGGGCGAGCACGGTGCTCACCTCTCCTCCGGCGTGTCCACGTGGAAGGTCCTCTCGATGACGGTGGTCCACTGCA